GGCCATGTGGTCCTCTCTGTGGACTGGCTGCTCTAATTGGGAACATTGTCCTCAAGGCCTGGTGGGCCAGGATGTGCTCCCCTCTCCAGAACTGACAATCTTGGTAGTGATATAAAACACAAAATTATTCATGTGTACTTTTAATAAGCAAAGCTCTCCATTGCTACCCATTAGCTACTTTCTTTTAGTAGAATACAATGTAATTTCCCTGTTCACTGCTATTAAGAAAGGGGCCAGGTGAAGTGACCGTCAGAATCTATTTGGATAGAAAGAAGTCCTGGTTATCTATAATCTCGTGGCTTTCCTGAATCTTCCACAGAGGTCCACTTTATCCAAGCTCAGTCCTGGCAGGTCACTTTTGCTCGCTCCAACTTAGCTTCCTGCTAAAAACATGAAAGCTACATGGACAGTGGCAGTTAAACCAACATTGCTTTTCTTCTTCCCTCTTTTAGTCACCTGGGCAGCATTCTGGCTTTGTCCCTGTAAGACCTAGTTCAAGGGTGCTCTGACTCACGGAACAACTCCAGCCCACCCAGGTTTTGCTGTCCTCCAAGCACCAACTGTCTTTACGGCCAAGTACTACACGGTATGGTATTGATTTATAACTGCTTACCTCTTATTTCCTCATTAGGATGAAGTAGGCTCAGTAAGTGGAGCTGCTATCTAAGGAACAAAACGGTGTCGTCTCCTTGCAATTCCCTACTCGCCATTTTAAAAATAGCAAAGCCAAAATAAAGGGAACGAAAAGTAATGCCCCCCAAAACACACACACAAATTTCGTGTCCTTTAAGTGCCCCCTGGCATTCAGATCTTTTCTCTCCAATTAATCTTGACCGTCTCCTCCTTTTCCTGATGCACCACACTGTCGCCCTTCAGCGTTGGAGCCCGTTGTTTCCATCCCTAGGCTGCGCTGGTCTGAATATTGTTACTATTCCCAATGAGCAAAGCTGATGGGCTGGCCAACTTCAATCATGCCCATTCTTCTTGGGGCTGGAGGATCTGGAGCCACACAATCTCCCTCCTCTTTCAGTCATGAAAGATGTGACAAAGGATTTTATGAATAGTATTACAGTATCACTTTTGCTTTCCTTTTAAAGTACGTAAAGGGTTTGACTACCTCTGGTATCCATTGCTTAGCATTTCCTAACTCACGGTCCTCTGACTTGCCGCTAAGTCCTTCACGCTTTGAAAAGTACAGTTAGCGAGCAGAGAGCAGAGGCAGCTGGGAGTAGGTGGGGTAGGTTGAACGGTGTCTCTCCGAAGGGGAGGCTTGAGTCCTACGCACTGAACTGGAGAACGTGACCTGGAAGCAGGATCTGTCTTAAAGATGCTGTCACCTGTTTCATGAGGCCATCACCAGAGTAGGGGACGCTCTGATCTCTGCCGAGGGATGTTTTAGGAAAGCCAAGAACACGGGCATACACAGGAAAGGAGCCGTCTGAGGGCCTACGAATCCAAGGATTGCTAGCAGCTACCAGAAGCTGGGAGAGTTTCTAAGGCCTCAGAATCAACATGGCCGATGTGGATTTGGACGGCTAGCATCCCAGGGAGACAACACATTTCTCTTTATAGCCACCCACTTGGTGGCGTTGCTACAGCAGTCTGAGGAAATGAACGCTGCAGGTAGACAAGGAATCTATTTGAGGCGTGAGAAAGGGCTTGAGACACTGGCAGGAAGTGGGTGCAGCTGCTAGGCTGATCTGCACCTTCTTTAGGTCGGGATCCCTGGAGGCACACAGGTCAGGCAGCTCACTCAGCGGCTGCAGTGTGAGCCCCCCCAACTGCTCCATGGGGAAAGATATGGCCATCTGCTGCTAGACTCAGGGTCTCAGAAGCCTGATGGGGGAAGTTCTCCTTTGTCCCACTGGGTTGCTGAAGGTCTGAACTGACTCAGTGTCAACAGAGTTGGTCTAGGTCTGGGTTTTAGGGTGGGGAGGACGGTAACATGCTCAGCTATTAACCAAAACGTTTGGGGCTGTGTCTACCCAGAGGTGGGTACCTTGGAGGAAAGCCTGCCGATGTACTTCTGAGAAGCCAGCCATTGAAAACCTTGCAGAGCACGATTGTGACACCCACGGAGTCACTAGGGGTTGGCATTGACTTAACAGCAACTGGATTAGGAAACACCTAGAGCGGTGTTTCTCAAAGTGGGCCGAACTGCCCTTGTGAGGGGTGCTAGGACCCAGGGTGAGGGCTGCAAAAAGGGACATCTACACTTTATCCTGGACTATGGGATACAGTACAAAAGCTTCTATTGCGAAGGGGGTGATAGGCAACTTTTTTTCTGCAAAGGGGATAGTAGGTCTCATAAGCTTGGGAATCTGTGTCAGATGCTGGGTCCTTGGGCCGTGACCCTGCAGGTGTTCAGCTGGCAGTCAAGGGTATCACTCCAGACTCTCAATGCTCTGAGAGCCTCAGCCACTCCCCCTCCAGTTCACTGGCTTGTGTTTGTATAAACCAGGCGTCCTCAAACTACAGCCCGGGGGCCACGTGCAACCCACCAAAGACATTTACCCAGCCCGCAGGTTGCTTTTACCCGTTTTGTTATTTTACTTCAAAATAAGGTATGTGCAGCGTGCACAGGAATTTGTTCATATATATTTTTAAAACTATAGTCCGGCCCTCCAACGGGTCTGAGGGACAGTGAACTGGCCCCCTGTTTAAAAAGTTTGAGGACCGCTGGTATAAACCAATCCCACGAACCCTCCACACCTAACTGGTTCTCAATAGGAGAACAACTGCCTACTGGTGGTGGCAACGGCTCTTTCTATACAATCTTATATTCATAACTATTAAAAAGCTTTAGAAAAAGAAAATATTCAACACTGATTTTATTTTCTGAAATGTTATCATTTTTACAAAACAAAAACCAAAGCGGTATCAAAAACAGCAAAGAGATTACAGGCCCTTTGCACCAGCTTTCATGGAAGTCAGAGATTATGAAACTGGGGGCCGCGTGAGTACTTAAAACACAGGCGGGGTTCTCTCTGGGCATATGCAGTAGGGGATCTGTATTGGAGCTACTCAGACTAGTTTTGGATAAGCACCAGTCTTTTTTTTTTTTTCTCGAGAAACCAGTTTGGTTTGTCCAACAAAGTAAACACTTTTTGCTGTGTGGTCTTTTCTTTTAAAAAACCAAACAAACCACTGAGATAAAACATGGAATGTGTAATTTGTGTGGATCAGAACCAAGTCTTTTGAGATCCCAATTACCCTGAAGAATACTGAAACATTTGTAGGGCATACTATCTACTAGTTCTACACCTCATGCTGTCTGAGACAGATACGCGATTCCTCTGGAAAAGAGCATTTCATTCAGAGGCTGTCCAGAGTTTGAATCACACCAGTTTCTGCATTCTTTCTGTTAAGTCCCAATGGTCATTTAGTTGCTGCTCTTATTCTAATAGGGCCATTAGAACAAAAGTGGTATGCTCATGCTAAACAGGTTCTTTATTCAATAGATTCATTTGATAGAGCAAGTCCTTGCTCTGGACCCTGGGTGACCACGAGAAACTGAGAAGCCATGATTCCTGGATGCTGAGGAAGCAGCGCATTTACACTCGTCACTCAGATCGTCTGGAGGTAACCAGACACGGCTGGCACTTGGTAGTGGGGCTCACCCACCGCCTGTTCCAAAAATAGTTTGCTTAAATTGGGGGGATTATGGTCCAGTTTTGTAGGGATAAAAGCTGCCAGCCATTCGTGAGTGTGCATGAACCACACTGCCTGGCTAGCTATGAGTTAGAACGCTGGCCTCAAATTCAGATAAAGTCTCTCAATATTAGATTTAAACTAAAGCAAAATTCAGCCAATAGGAGTTAAAATTGTACATTTCAACCTGAATGTAACTGATACTGCCAACAGACAGGTATATACATCACTGAAATGGTTTTGAGAAGCATGAAACACATCAGCTGCCAGAAAATTTCCTCTGTATTATCTCCATTTCATGAAAAACTGGCATGTGTAATTTTCGTCTTTAGAGAGATGGAGAAGGAAGAAGCAAGAAGGTAAAGCTGAGGGACAGACACCGAGGCTACCCAGCGGGCAGCGGGGGCATTTGGTGGTTTTGGTCTTGGTACCAGCAGTTCGCACACCTCGGCCAATGCCCAGGGCCAGCTGGGCTACACCGTTTTCCTTGCAGTCAAGACTCGGACGATGGACCCGACCCCGCCAGCAGCAAGTGCCTGCAAACAAACACAAGGGGAAGCTTGACAGAACCCTGAGGGATCAATTCTTACCTTAAGCAACACTTTTAAAATACAGATACAGGTTTTGAATTTATTAATTTGATAAATATTTCTGGAGCACCTGTGAAACACCAGGTACGGTTCTTGACACTCAGTAATAAACAAACCCACAGAGCCCCTGCCTTCATGTCCACGAGATTCCGCAGTCGTTTTCATTCTACCGGAGAAGAGCCTGGAGGGAGGCTGAACTGGCAGCTGGGAGAACAGCGAAGCAGCTCCAGCAAGAGACGAGGAGAGGCTGAGAACTGCTGCCCCGAGGGCTCTCAGGAGGGTGGAAAAGCCTGGCAGAGCTGGGGACTGATGTGAGGGACCGGTGAAGATGTCCGTCTTCCTATGCCTGCCCCCTTTCTCTCCCAGGATCCAACCCAGCTTCCCACCTGGCACTAGTCAGCATGCCTCCTTGATCCTGGTTCATAGCTCCTCCATCTCTGTCTTTTTAAAACATTTTAAATGATTTATGTTGTTATTGCTGCCTCCCAGTACTTGTGAGGATCCAATGAGCCTGCACTTGGAAGCACGCCTAGAATATACGCCACCAAGCAATGTTGGCCATGACCTACACTACACTGGGCTGCACGGGCCGTAAGCGAGGATGAAGGTTTACATACACTGTAGGGCTGTTGAGGATTAAGCAAAACACGAGTGGCGAGCAGCAGTGCTCCATAAAGTGGACGACTGTTCAAATGGGGCCACATAGTCAGCAGCAGCAGAGGCTATTCAAGGTAACGTGGGGATCAAGGGCATGGGACTGGTCTATCTCCGGAGAGATGCTACTGACTCTCTTCATTTGCTAGCGTATGAGAGACGAATGGATTTGACCAAGGCTAAACAGCAAGCTTTTCTACCTATTCTTACCTCCTATGTGTATGTCTGTTTCTCCCCTCAGACAGACTTAAGACAAACATTCATAATTTCGAAAGATGGAGTTTGGGGAATTGCCAGATGTTAGAAAATATACCCCATAACTGTAGTTGGTCCTATTTACCATATATACTTGAGTTTAAGCAGAGCCGAATAGCAGCCGAGGGACCTAACTTTACGACAAAAACTGCATACAAAATGTGCTGAAAAAGTTGGCTCATACACGAGTATACAGTGAACGCTCGCCACTTCGCGCTTCGACTTCCGCGGCTTCACTCTATCGCGGTTTTTGCGTAACAGCACCCACTGCCTACACCCGCTCCTTCAGAGGAAAAAGACGGCAACCCACCTGTAGAGTACATCCCTTAGGTCATTTCATAGGCTATTGATTACAGTATGTGTAAGAACTATGTATAATAATACTGTATGTGAAATATGTAATACTGTAAACTAGATGCCATAAATAATATAATAAATAATAAATGATAATTGTAACGTCCAAAATGTTTTACTGTATTTTCCCTTTTTCGTTTAATAAATTGGGTAATACGAGTGTAATGGTGACTAAAGGGTGTTTTTTCATGTCCTCTATGCTCTAACTACGAAAATATTTGATTTACAAATAAGAAATCCTACTTCGCGGAATTTCATTTATCACGGTAGGGTCTAGAACCGATTAACCGCGATAAACGAGGGCTCACTGTATATGGTAAAAGTGATATGGTTTAGATATATAACAATATGTCAGAAGAGTTGACTATTTAAGATTATTTTACTAAAACATTGTTTTTTAAAAAACGGATCCTGAACGGGCACCTGCTTATATGAGAAAATGCAATGCATGGAAACATTGAAAAAACAAACAAAACTTTAAGTTCTTTTGCAAAGCTTTTAAAGTTCATGATGATATTCAATGAATAATCATTACTGAGTGTAAAACAAATGCTATACATCAGAATCACTAGACTAAGGCTGACCCGAGCCTCCGTGTTCATGTGTTCACAAAGACGTCTCACTGGGACGGCCCGAAGGTTATTTGGTTGTTGATCTTATTCTGTTGCAAAGGAACTAGTTGTGTGGATCTGTAATTCGTACTTACCTTTTCATGCCACTGCAGTAACACAGCACTGCTATTGTCGGAGGGGCTCTCAAAGCCTTTATAAATATACTTCATTAGGAGGTCCACACCGCTCTTGTCCAGAGACTGAACTGCCTTTTCAATATCATTAGCCTTAAAAGAGATGAGCACCTTCAAGACAATGCTGCCTGCTCGATCCTGGGGGTAAGCAACAAAGAACAGTTAGACGTGTGTGTGGTTGCAACTCGAGGAAGGGAAGGTTGAGAAGGTGACACTTGAGTAAAGACCTGAAGGATGTGAGAGAGGTGGCATGGGGACATCCGAGGATGGTGTTTCAGACAGGAAAGAACAAGTGCTTTGTGTGCTCTAGGAATTCCAAGACCATCCAATGTGGCTGAAGTGCAACGGGAGGGACTAGCAGGAGAGGCAGTCAGATAGGTGAAGGGAGGCCAGGTCACATAAGGTAGCATGAGGGTTGTGGCTTTCACTTTGAGAAGTGAGGCCTTGGGAGAGTTCTCAGGCAGAGCAGTGACATAACCTGACTGACATTGTAACAGGATCACATGGTTCCTATACTGAGCATAAACTGAGGGAGGGAGGCCGAAGTGGGCAGACCAATTAGGATGCCACTGAAATGACACAGGCAATCAATGCCAGTGAACTGGTTAGTCGCATGACAGTGGTGAGAAGGTCAACATATTCTTCACATCTTTATATACTTGAAGGCAGAGATGACAGAATTTGAGATCAAAATTGTGATAATCAAATCAATGTTTAAATTTTACTTCTTGATCTTCAAAATCCCTGAACAAGGAAACAAATTCGTAGGTCTAATCAAGTTTGAACTACCCTGCAGAGCACTGTTATTCTACGAAACCCACACTGCCATTGAGTGGTTGCCCACTTGTAAGTCGGCTCTATGCAGTTTCTGAGGCCGTGTATCTCCCTCAGAGCGGATGATGGGCTTCAATGGCTGGCCTTGTGGCTCGCAGTCCAACTCTTACCCAGTAGCACCGCCAGGGCTCCTTGATACTTTACGATAGATAACAGATATTTCAGCTTTATCAATAATGATCTTTTTCTTCAACATAAGGCTGCTCCAAAGCAGTTATTTTCTTGTTCCCTAAGGCAAGCAAATGGAACACTGAATTCGACCTTTCTACTGGTTCTTTCTATTCAAGACAAAACGCTACCCCAGCACCCATGCTGTCGGGATTTGACAAAGTGTCGCTACCACTTATTGCTAGCTTCAGTTTGGAGAACAGGCCATTACTCGGTTTAGGAAAATATCTTTGTCTTTAGTGCAAAACTGTGACAAAACTCATCCATCTAAAAGCAGAAAGTGGTTAAATGGAAATGTCAATGAAGCGCCTCATAACTTTTAGAAACCAAAGCCATTCTTCCCTGTGTCCTAGATTATGATTATGTACTTCTTTGAGTTACTACTCTGCAGTTAGGGAAAATAAGAGACTAGTGAACCTCCTGGGATGCATTCACAGCCACTGGCAGTAGGGTCAGTGATGTGAGCTTCACTTTAAACAAGCAAACCGGCCTACGACTTAATGAAGGCTGCTGTTGGGAATGTACATCACACAGTGTTTTGGGAGGGCCAGTTGGCCACACCAGATGCACAAGTCTCTTTTTTCATTCTTGGAGTCAAAGAATTTGTCCAAAATAATGAAGATTTACCAAAAAATCTCATCTCAGTACAGGAAATAAAAAAAGGTCAATAAATGTGTGACCCAAGGAGATTGTATATAATTGCACACATATATAGTAAATTATCTATAATCTGTATTATACCTATAAGCAGACAATAAAAATTACATTTAAAAAATATTCTATTATCAAAGGAAGAACATATGTACATTGCTTTATTTAGAAAAGCAGGTTGTTAAAATTCCATTTTTATTAAAAAACAAAAAAAATCTACTAGCAGAGAGCCACTCACACAGTAACGTGTGCTCTTGGTGGTGGGATAGTCCCTTTTTATCCCTGTCTCTGTGTTTCCTCTGATAAACATTTAGCACTAGCCTAAATTAAAAAATTCTGGGAAAAAAAGTGAAGTCTGTTTATTATTCTTAAAGGCTCTGTTTTAAGTTCAACATTAAAAAAAAAAGTTCAACATGTTGTGGCCTCCTTTAAAAATGCCCACAGATTTCTCGGTCATTAGAACTTTTAAAACTTACTGTTATCTGCCATGCAGCATTATCATAACTGCAGAGGGGGGTGGTTTTTTGGTAAATTTTAGCGTATTAAACTAAATTGCCAGCATGTTAGACCCGTAAAGCCCCACTGGACTGTGGCGAGTGAAGCTACAGGCAGTGAACACCCTGTTGTCTGGACTCACCTTGACCGCCTGGCTCTTGGTGTTGATCGGGGGGTTTTTCAGCGCAGCCTGCAGAGCAGCGGCCATGTTTCCTGTGAGGAGGGTTAAGGGACCACAGCAGAGGGCGGAACTCAGGTGAGCAGTGCACCTTTCAGGAATCACTGGCTTTCGGACTTGATGTACAGGGAGCAAACATGACTGTTCAACACTGAAATTCAACATACCAATTTCGGGAATACCAATTAATAGTAAAATTTTGAAAATAAAAGAGAATATCAGACTTTCTTATTTTTAAAAAAGACTTTCACCCTTGGTTCTTTACTACCAAGGGTCCCTGATGGCGCAGAGATTAAGCCCTTGGGTGCTAAGGCAGGCGGTTTAAACACACCCTTGGAGGCTTCCAAGGAGCAAGATGTGACGACCATCTGCTTCCATAGATTTACCAGCTTGGAAACCCTGTGGGGCAGTTCTACCGTTAGTCAACCCCAGAGTGAAGTGTTTTTTTGGTTCTTAATCTTAACTATCAAAACAAATACCATGATAACCTTTCCTTTTCTAGTGAGATGTACATGCAAGCACTGTCCAGACAAGTACTAACAAATCTGAACTGGTAGGTTGAACTGCCAAGCTGTTAGAAAGCAAGCGCTTAACCACTGAGCCACCAGGGCTCCTCCCCAAACACATTAGAATTATTAAACCCTCAAAGGAAACAGACTACTGTTAACCAAAAGGGATCTTTTAATGTGATTCTCACTAGGTCTACTTTTACTATTCTTGGGTTCTGCATTAAGTACAATCTAGAAGATTATTCTGGTAATCTGAATGAAACACATTAGCAATTTCTCAATATCAATGAAGAGACATTACAGAAAGTGTAATACTTCATATGACCCTTAGGTTTTGGGTATTTCCATCCATATTTCATAAAGATAATTCAAACTCTCTCAGACAAGGTCTCTTAAATTTAGTCTCTCTGGGAAGGCTCCGGTGAGTAAGCAAACACGAGAGCCGGAAGGCCAATCAGGCTGTCAGAACGTAGTCATTCCCCTACAAGGAAAGCAAACCGCGCAGCGTTCACGCATTTCCTCATCTCCTGCAGACTGTGCATGCAGGGCTACTGCCCTGGGTTGCAGCAGGGAGAGAAGGAAGAGGCAGTAGAAGACCTCAGTGATATGAACACAAGCCACCTCAAATGCATTCATCTCACATTTATCCACCACGACAGAGGTTTCGAAACAAAGATGAGTATGCACTGCTATCTTCTGAAAAGTCTGACAAATTTCTGGTTGGTGGTATCTGATACTGAAAACACTGATACTGCATTTTCCATGTGGCATCAACTTCCTGAGAAGCATGCCTTTTGTAGGCTTTTGTGAAAAAACAAAAAACAAGAAACACTTCAGAAACATTTAAGTCATGCACAATAACAGCTGATTGTGACAGTCTCAGCAATCAAAGGAACATCTGTATGCTGATAAATGTTTACTGCTGTAGTTTAGGCACCTCAAAGGCTGGATATACTTGCTACCAAATATTTTCATTCATATATTTTCTCCCACTATATTTTATAGGGCACCTATGAGGAAAGAGTTCAATAAGCTTTCCTTATCTTCCGTATAAAGAATAAATAAAGAATAATTAGGAAGATCTAAAATCACTCATTGTGAATCTCTAAAACCACAGCTTTGGTTATCGCGCCATTTAAATGGTTTCAAAAATGATCTGCTGCAAATGCTAATGATAAGTTATGAATATTCAAAGATGAAAAACAACAAAAAAGGAAATACTGTGGGCAGCTACATTTTAACTTATATGAGAACTATTTCAGGATCACAAAACCCATTGTGCTTTATGCCATGACCCATCTCCTGTATTCATGGGGTTTACTTGAAGCACTTCCAGGGATTCTTCACATGCACCCTTGTTTTCTTTATATTGTCATTTACTTAGCAGGTAAAGGGCTTCAAGCTTCCTTTTCAGGTTTTTATTTGGGGGGGGGGGTTGTACTCACTTCCCAAGATTAGAAAACGCTGCGCAGCCTCTATTTTGCCATTCTTTTTCGTTAAAAAAGGCAATGATAATAAAAGAGCCCATGGGCTTCAACTCCGCGAGGCGCCCCTATCCTCCGGGCAAACAGCACACTAGCCTACCGCTAGAAACACACAACCAAGACAAGCCCCCACCGCTGCTCCCCATCAAACCACCGAGGACACACGGTTTCTGGCTAAGGCGCCCCGGAAACCCCGTCCAGGCGGAAGAGCCGGCCGCCCGGCAGCAGGCGCTCAGCGCGGGCGCGGCCCGGGACTCGGGGCAGGGGGTTCGCGCCAGGGCAGGTGGCCGAGGGTGGGCGCCTCCCCTCTCCGAATGGGCCGCGATCGGACAGGTGGGCAGCGCCCCGCGCCGGCCCCCGCGAGCACAAGGATATTGTCGCAGGCAGGAGTCCACCTCGCCCTCGTCCGGCCCGGCCTGGCCGTCGCCCCCGTCTTCCTCGTCCACGAACTTGTTCTCATCGTACTCATCCACGTCCACCTTCCGGAAGCGGGCCGACGACACCGTGTTCTTCGACATCCCGGATCCCGAGCGGCGGCACAGG